CGGTTGGAAGGAATGAGTAAGAATTTTATTTGCGTAATTTAAAAAAGTAAAGAGGCTGAATGGCTGATGTTCAATCATTATATTTTTCAAGTACATTTTCCAGTATCAGCAAAAGAAATATCTCTTCAAGAATTGAGATTAAATGTTATACATAGTATTTTACGGAAAGAACCAATATTATTCGCTGGAAATCTGCGACGTAATTTAAATCTTTTTGAAGAATATACAGATCACGAGTTACGGTGCCCCTTAGAAGACGTTGAACTGAAAGCATTGTTAGACTCTAATTTAGGACATGAGATGAAAGTTAACGAGAGTAGCAGCCATTTCAGTGCGGGACAAAAAGAATTACTCTGTCTAGCTCGCGCCATTGTTAGAAAAAACAAAATAATTATTTTCGACGAAGCCACTAGAAACGTTGATCCCAAGACTGATACACTTATTCGAAAATACCATCCAAAATAAATTAAAAAAATATTCAGTTTTTATTATTGCTCAACGTATGCATATCATCATCGACAGTAACAAATTTGTTGTGATGGATGCTGAAATAATTGTAGTTAATGAAATTATTTATAAAATTATTATGGTTATTCGATATGATAATCTGAAAAGATATTTCAATTCTTCTATGAGTTTGATTATACTTATGCACCAATGCGAAACACTGATGGCATTCTACAGTATGATTTAGCCAATAAGTCCCGGCCACTACGAATCTCTTTGATCTGATGAAAATAATGAGTTTGACATCTATTATTCATAATTTTTCCATCGTATTATAATTATTTTAAAATAATGTCTATTGTAGTACTATGAAAGGGAATTTGAAGATGAAACTGACAAGCATTCAACAGATTTATATAGTTACTTTACATAATTGGAATTTGTATAGAATGAATTGATACAATGAGTTTTTTGAAAATTCAGTAATTCGGATTATGTGAAATTTGTATTTATTTTTTATTATATAATTAATTCACACGGCACCATATCAGTACATTACAAACAATTTAAATTGTATGTATCAAAGTTAACATTAATATTAACAACATTAAAAATGTTTCTGAGTATTACGGTCTATTGTTGAATATTCTAGTACTCAAATAAATATTTTTGTAAAACTAATATTTCGAAACTAAATTGAACGTATTTTTAAAATGAGTTTTCAAAAGTAATTTTCATAATTTTTCATGTTATTAGAGAACATCGTAAGTTCAAGTGCATAAAAGCTAAGAAACAATTGAATGTAATTTTAATTTTTACACATGAAATAAAAACGTGATCAGAATAAAAGTCATTAGCCTATGAAAAATGTTTATTTCAGTTACTTCACAATGGTCATATTAAACCATAGTTCTCGAAGCTAAAATTCCCGCGTAAAGTAATCACCACAATTAATCGGTACAGAGCCAACCACTACAATTTAAAAGCGTCTCTCTACAAAATTAAACTATGCCAAGACACCACTTGTGATTGCGGTTTCGAATTTCAAGACCTTGATCACATTCTTTGGCAATGCCCTATTTACGACAATTGTAGGATAAACTTCATTACAGATATTAAACGCTCTAAAATGTATCTTTCTTACTCTGGCACTGATCTACTTTTCAATATTCATGCTAATATCACTCTTAGCATATGTAAATTTTTTAAAGACTGTAACTTAGTTATATAAATATGCTTTGTAAATTGATTTTGTGTAAAAAAGAAACCTTTTGTATCTCTAGAAAAATAACCCAATAAAGGTTCAATTTGCTTTAATAAAAAAAAAAATTAATTAAAGTATCGATTATGCCAGTGTTATAAGTTAATCGTAAAGATATAAATATAAATATACTTATTGATATTGATTAGTTGACGCGTTGAAATCCTAGTCGGAATCACAATAATCCGTGCTAGTTAACTTTTTCGCACGAGTAAGAGCACCAAATAAACTGAAAACTGCAAATATCGTACTGTTGAACGTATTCATAGCTGAATAATTGGAAGGATTGTACGTTGTAAATTAGTGAATAAAAGGGTTGAAAAAGATGATGAAAAGGATACAAGGAAAAACGACGCTGACAGCCGTTGATTTTGCGGCAAGCTCTCCGCCGCAGAGCGCCAGCATTTCTCACGCTAGTCGTCACTGGCTGTTTTTTTCGGGCTGCATTACACGCGCACATAGAGCAGCAGCATCTCCAGCGGGCTGCAAAAGGGAGAGACATATATATATACGTATAGCAGAAGCGCCTGCCGGTAGACAAGCCGACGTGACGCGCGAGCGCTCGTGACTGCCGCAGCCGCTGGCGCATCTGTCACTGACTGTGCCAAGATATTGGGAGTCTCGCGTGTATATACGACGCACACGCGCGTACTCGCGCGGCCTCGTACATTTTCATTTGAAACAACGCAAAAACGAGCTGGAAAACTCGCTGTGACAGGCGGAAATCGCTGAAAAAAAAAGCCGCGTATCGCCAGCTACCATTTACGGGAGAGCGCTGAAGCCTCCGTCGGTGCTACGCGGTTCCCTCTGTCTGCGTCTCTACGGCTGTTATTCGTGCTCGGGAAATAGTGCGCGGCTTTAAAAGCTCTCGCACGCGCTGGATAAAAGGCTAAAAACGTTCAATGTCGACCTATCCCCTCCATATTTTCCTCGTTTTTCACCAATTCGCTCTTTTTATAACTGAAAATTTCATTTAGATCGCGAGTGGATTTGAAACAAAGTGGTCTTCCAAATCGTTTTGACGCGGCTCACCGATATAGTTTTCGTCCTTGCGATTTTAAAACAGGCCGAATGGATTTGCCAATATTTGCAGATGGTTTCGGATGAAAAGTTGAAGCACGCGATAAAAACATCAATGTCGGTTATTTTACAGTGAACGCTAGCAATTGTTCACAAACTGGATATTATTTGTCATCAAATGGCAGACAGCATAATTTTACAATTGAAATCTCGACGTAATTTGGTCATATGTTCATGACCATTTTCAACTTATAATAATTTTATTTTTTAATTTTATAAATAAGAATTTGGCTTTGTTTAGCTGACGAAAATAAAGATATTATAGGATGTTTCGCGCCCAAGATTTTTTGCTAATCACTTAGTGAGCAATTAACAAAGAAGATTAAATGTGGGAGTGAAGCAAATCTCGTACTTCGCCGAAATGCCACCGCAAACCACTCGTAGAAATGCAAATAAGCTCGAGCGACTGTACCGAGCAAACTGCACATTAGTTTTCTAATTGAATTTATAAACATTTGCAAGTGAACGAGCTGCATGTTCGCTCATGCTTGCAAAGATGCCTGCTCTCGAGAGACGCACCAAGTTGAAGGCGGAGCCCTACCCGCCTGACTCACGACGAACTTGCAATCGGACGCGCGCGCACCTTTCGAAGTTCATCTTGCAGCCCCAACAATGTTCTATAATCTCTATGAATTTACACCCGAGCGGCCTCGGGAGAGGACGCGAAACCAAAACCTTGTTCGATCTCGCAAAGTCTCGATTTTCAGATTCTGGAACAGAGAGAGAGAGAGAGAGAGAGAGAGAGAGAGAGAGAGAGAGAGAGAGAGAGAGAGAGAGAGAGAGAGAGAGAGAGAGAGATCCGTGGAGTTGATCTATCGATAACCGCTAGTTCAGTTTCCTGACCCGATATTCTCCGCTCGTTCCGCTTGCCCGAATTTCGATCAGTTTCAAACTTCCGATCTTGCCGAGTTCCTGCCCTGTTGTTATATATTATACTCGCTGCAGTCTCGGACATGCGGTTCAAATGGCTGCGCATCGTGCGTCTGTGATTGAGTCGCTCGACGAGCCGCATGTGAAGCACGTTCAAAGATTGATCAGTGATACGTTCATACATACCCAACAGCATTCAGTACAAATGATGCACGTCGAATGTTTTCATACAGAAAAAATATGCTTTTAAAATAACTGCCGACAGATTATTATATCAGTGCGCAAACGTTTTGTAGGCAGTAATTAGTGATAAAAAGATGTCTTTTATGCGCTAGTTTAATAATAATGTAATTTAGTTCATGAGAGTCGGAAATGAGGGGTGGAGGTGTGATCTAGAGATAAGAGTAAGATAACACTTGCTTTCTACCCCGACCACATAAAAAGCCTAATGTTTTAACGTGGGCACTTGTAAAATTGAAATTTCAATAATTTCGTTGCTTTACAAATTGTTTCAAACAACTGGAAATCTTTGTTATTTACGTGTATCGTTATCGTATTTATATAGTATATATTTTAGATAGCAATTTACTTTTACACTTTACTCTGGCTAATAACAAAAACAATACTTCTTTGCTCTAACTTGGAATAATTTCAAGTTCATTTCTCTAGCGAGTATAGAAAGTTTGTAGTGCATAAATGAGCATCACATCCCCGTCATTCCGAGAGCGTCGCGTGGGTTAAGTGGATCGGAAATTGCTACAGAGATTGAGGATACTCTGCAACTAATGTACTGCGAGAAGCTGGCAGCAACGGAACCTCACTTCGCTAAAATGAGCATAACGAAAGAAAAAGAAAGGAAGAGATAAAATCTGCTACACCGTAAATTTTACAGTAATTGTGAAGTGTTGATAAAAACGAAATAAAAATTGTTCCTTAAAATTTATTTTACTTTTACCAATTTGCGAGCACCTCATAGTACAATATTGATTAAAATTTATGTTACAAATTGATTTAAAGAATAACTATTACGGTTATTATTATTGTTACCTATTGGTAACCTATGTAAATTAAAAAAATCCTTATCTATTATAGATATCATTTCTTTTCTTCTGATAAAAAACAACTTGAAAGGATATGTACCTAAAGAAAGAATAATTAAAAATTTTATATAAATAAACATAATTGAAACTTGTGTAAAAAAATCTAGGGAAAGCATATGTATTTTAATGTTTAATCTAGAATCAATTGTTGGTGTGGTCAAAAGAATACATTTCGATTACAAGATACTTTTGTTGAAGGTCATATAAGAGAAGGCACGAATAAAGTTAAAAAATGTGAAAATTGTTATTATTTTATTCATAATTGTTTGTACACGAAATTTTATAAAAATATTAGTATTTCACTTTTACCCACAGTTTTATGTACACATTTACAAGTGCATATTATTATACTATTGGGCATATTTTAAGCAATAATTTACATAGTGTCAATACATATACCTTATAATTAGACTTCTAATTTAACGAAATATTGTATAATTCATTAAATTCAATTCACTAATTAATTAAAAATATTAATTAGTGGCATTGAAGTTTAAAAGCCTTTTACTTATAAGATGAAGTTAGAAGACAGACTATAGATCAGAAAAATGTATAAAATCAAATAGGAATGAGTTAACAATCTAAAAGTATTGTGATGACAGTTTCTTTTAGATTAAAGTGTAATTGGCAAAAAGATTCAATGCGAATATTAATAGAATTATTATGCACTTGAAATATGATTATTGCATTCCTGTAGGTGTTTTCACGAATGCTTTGATTGTTTTTCTACTGTAACATCCAAAGTTGTCAATCTATTAATAAACTTCAACTTTACATTATTTTATACTACATATTTTCAACAAAAAGCTTTTAACTAATATTTTATAAAACATACTTGAACAAAATTCATATACAACATCATATTTATCGAGTACTATTGTTCTATTGCAACTATAATTTTGAGTTTCATCATTAAATAAGACCTGATCAGTGATAGGTCTGTGCGAACGTCTTTTCCATCTTAATTATGACACGCTATTTTTATAAATAATAATGTTGTTAAAAAAATACAAATTAATTTTTTGGTACTGTATTCAATTTCTTTACAATAATAACAACTTCTTCACTATTCAAAACATTTTGCGTGATTTGACAACTCATATATTGAGGAATGAAGATCATTCTGTACTTACAGAAGTAATATTACATTTTATAAATAGCATGAGCTGAAAAGATTGTAAAAAATGCCTTGACCGAATAAACTTTTTTTGTGTATTTAGTCTTTTGATTTACCTTAAAAATATAACATGTTAATATAGTAAAACCTCTTAATTTTCTTATTGGTCTTCACGTAACATTTCACTTATAAAGTTAACAATTTCTTCTGCATTAATGCCATATCATTGAATATGAATGATTTAATTTGATTCGTAAAAAATAGTTTTTTAGATAGTTTATAAACATTTTTTCTCTATGAATCTTTTTATAGTTTGGCAATAGACCCTAAAGATTTTGAAAAAGTAATCACACTTATTGTATTTATTTGCGAAATCACACATTCTTCGTATTCAAGATGTACATTCATCTCATGATAAATTAATTTTTAACGTAAAATATTCATCCAATTGTTTAATAGAATTACTAAACCAAGAATAAAATACTTTCCTAGGGTCGTTTTTAAAATTTTCGGTATCTTTTAAGGTAAATTCAGCCAGCATGAACGTAAACTTATCTTTTTTACACATGTAATCACATACACATTAGTATCTTCTTCTACAGTCTTTTATTTTTTTATCACTTCAGTTCTTAAAAACATTTCGTGATGTTTATTACTTTCCTCTCTTGAATAATATCGAAGAGTGTTGTTTATTTAGTATATTTTTCACAAATCACAATCAAATGTGCTGTAACAAAAAGATATCATATTTATAAAAGTGTATTTAAAATATAAAAAGATCTAATTTTGATAATATATAATTAGTTTAAAGACGATAATTAATATTGATTACAAAAGATGTATTTTTGAATAAATTAAATATTATTTACTATAAATAAGCCAATACTTTTACATAGATACCTATTTTCTTACAATTTTCTTTGGAGTTTCTATGTGGCCGGCGTTAAAATTTATTGATCATTAATCAGGTTAATTTAATTTATAACATTATACTTATATATATAATTTAAACTTTATTAGTATTAATAAATGTATTCAACTTTTACAAATTACAGTAATCAATTAAGGGATTGCTTCCTAACTACCCCTCATAAATTTATAGTATGAACCGTGCAACATGCAAGCTCTACTGTTTTTATAAGATTATTAAAAAATAGCTTTTCTATTTTTTAACGGTAGGTTATAGAGATTTTTATATTAGAGAATTCCCAGCTTAAATAAATGACAAATTTGTTTGGTTACTTTCCAAGTTCTAGTCTTACCTCCTGATACTTGAAAATCTCAAGATTTCTAAATACAATGCTCAAAGTTTTCTCGACGGAAATAACAATGATAATTTTCTAATTATATGATGATGTAACCACTCCACTATCGCCTTTTGCTTTTATTTTTCAGTTCTTTTGTCAGTGGACGGCATAACAGCTGATACGATTAAATAAATGCTTTTTGTAGGCCGCGAATCATGCGTTTTCATGCATTAAATAATCTTTGAAAATGAATATGGTACGATAAAATAAAAGTCTTGAAGGGCCAAACTGCTTAGTCTGAGTAATCGGAGAGTAATCTTGACATCTGAATATAAATAACATTTGTTACTGGTAATATAGTCGGTAATTTTCAGATTTCCATCACCGAACAAGCATTTTAGCGCCACACTCGAAATTTATTTGTAACATAATATATTTACAAATAAAAAATAAAAAAATTAAAGATTCAAATCAGTATTGTAATAAGCAAAAAAACACGAACAAGCAATTAGTATATGGAAGATGAAAATATTATATTTACGTTTTATGATTAAAAAGATGTTGAAAAATTTAAGATGAGCATTCTTAAAAACAGTTAAAAATTTTAACTGTAATTTAAATTTAGGTATCATGTAAAAATCTCTTTCTGATCACTACATAATAACCGGCTATGAAAGCTGTTCTCTAAAAAAACAAAGAATAAAATTTGATTATCAGAGATTAAGGATTCAAAGATTTCACACATATGTGTGCATGCAAATATCCTAGTAACCTTGAATGCATATTGTAGCTACGTTGCAAGAGTAATTTGTAGTGTTTTAATTATTTAACTATTTTTTAACATCCTTTTTGAGTCAGTATCATTATGAAATATATGAATTTGTAGAGCAGCGCAACTATAATTGTGTTTGGAAAAGTACGTTGAATGAAACTATTCCCCGAACGCTCTATACCTTTGCGTAGAATATATAAACAAAAAAAGAAGACCATAAAGTTTAATGAAACTTACCTCCGGTTTGTGTGAGTCAACGCTGTTGAGAGCCACATTCTCCGGAATAGTCATCTCCTCGTCCTCGTCGTCCTTGGGCGAAAAAACAGTCTTGTAAGCCAACGAGGCGAGCAATGCACCTCCAATCGGTCCAAACCAGTATACCCAATGGTTGTCCCAATTGCTGTTCCATAGTGCAGGACCAAACGACCTTGCGGGATTCATACTACAGCCAGTGTAAGGCCCAACAGAAGTCGCAAGAGCACAAACACTCAGACCAAATTTAATGGCTACTGAGTCAGTATTGTGAGCGTTGCGCTTGTCCCACACGGCGCAGGCTATCAGCATGAGGATTGCTGTGGAGATACCCTCGATTAGAAGACCACTTAGTGCAGATACTTGGGGGTGCAAGTTTGTTACGCAAAAATTATCGTATTCCGGGTCATGAAGGCTTTCAGAGTCGGATGGGAATTTGAAGGCTGATAGGTAGCCAGCGGGTGTGATTGCCTGAAAACAAATCACACCGTCAATAAGTACTTTTAGCATCTCATGGAAAAGAAGACTCAACAATCTCAATACATAAATCACAAAAAATTGAGTTTTTTCTGAGAAAGTTTATTTAGTTACAAATTATTTTATACAATACAATCAAAGATGAAACTATATATTTGTCTATTACAGTGCGTTTCAGGGAACTTTCTCGTATAATACGAAACCGACCTTTGTTTTAATCAAACGAATAATTTTTTATATAAAATGAAAATATAACATTCTGAAAGAAAAATAATATTACATAAGTTGTTGATATGACGTTTTTATACGGAATTTTACGGAATATGCAGACTTATTTAAATGTTTGAACAACGTTGCGATAAAACTTATCTCGTCAATTGGTCGGATCATAATCTCACAAATGTATTATACGAAATAGCTACTGGAAATAGGGCATACATCTTCAAATTTTTATCTATCTAAAAATAACGAGACATTTTTACTCGCCAGTAGAAATATTAATTTATGTTTGATTATAATACTAACAATGTAAATTACGCGAAGCTTCACTAGAATACTATTTTTAAATTAGAATCAGAAAATTGTTGAACAGAAACCATTTCATTATGATTTTCATCTATTGTGTATTCTGAGTATATGTCGTTGGATAGTGTCTTTCGGATAGTAAATATATTTATTATAAAAGCTATTTTAAGAAATATTGAAAAATTGAAATTTCATTATATATCAATCAAGTATAAAGCTTTTTTATAATAATTTACGATCACTAATAATGTTGACAAATATTTATTACTCAAATAAAAATACTATATTTCAATCCGATGTGTACGAAAATTCTTTCAAACTTCTAGTCGTATATACGTCGCTTGATAAGACGATTAGTCTTATTATTAGTGTACTAACCTTTAGTAATCCATATCCAAGCACAGCGCCAATACATTGTGCTATAATATAGCAAGCCCCTTCCTGAATAGATTTCAAACCAAGTATCATTGACCCAACTGTCATCGACGGATTAACGTGTGCGTGACTTATGTGTCCAAAGCACTAGAAATTAAGCGATTAATTTACTTTCAACGAGGCAAAAAGTATCTTAACAATTTATTCTGCTAAAATAGTAAGCGTGTGTTTTCCCCATCAATATCTCTAATACATTAATATATTGTCAATAAATTATCGTTTTACAGTCCTATCTTTTACATTAGAAAACAATTAAATACTTCAATTTTATTTTGCAAGAGCTATTTATGTATATATATTAATGTATATAATGGGGCGACCTTAAATATTGGTAACTTTACAGTATAGTGTATAAAAATACTTTAATTAGTTTCTTAGTAATGCAATAAACGTGAGTATAAAAATTACCTGAATAACTATTAAAACTGCAATACCAAAATTCAATGTTGTTTGAATAACCACTGGTGTACCTGTAAAGCCTCCCATACATCCCAAGCATCCTAAGAACACTAGAATAGCCGTTCCTAGTACTTCAGCTAGAGATGATACCATTAAATCCTTGACAGATGATTTTCCTTGCACCATCTTTTTGAATTCTATAACATTAACATTACGTGAAATAAATGAATACGTTTTCATCTGAGGTCATCAAAAGGTATCATCTATGAAAAATTAAGTTAGTTATATAGTTTTGAGAAATTATTTTTGCTCTGACTGTAATGAAAAAAAACGATATAATTAGAGTTTTATGATTTGCATCATTTACATATCGTTAACGTTTTTAATTTTTGAATTTGAGAACTAGGCAACAATATTTAAACTGATAGATAGCACTTTTTCAATTTATTTAGAATAGTTAAATTCTTTACATATTAATTAGCATATATACATTGAATTTATTTTCCATACTTTTATGAACCCATTATCACCCAAGAAAAATCTAGGCTAGATAACACCAAATCGGATCACTGCCTAAATAAAAAAAGTTATCCGTGTTTTTCGTTGCGATTCCAATTGTTTATATTTTGTTAGAATATATCGCTTATACATTTTATAAATACATAAGAGCTATCACTCAAGTGTGTGTATTTTGAGGCTATTAATATGACGTTAATTTGCGTTTGCGATTTGTGTCTATAGTATAGTTATTGATGCCTATAAAGTTTTCTTTTACTTCATATCATTATCTGTTCCGGTCAGATGATTGTAGTTAGATAAGCAACATACACCAAGCGTAAATTTTATTTGAAGATTATTTATTCTTTTTCAGCATGTATACTTTATATCTGTATAATTAAGTTTTCTTAATAATTTGGTGAGTTAATTTTAAGTTTAATTATCGCAATACGAAATTTAGTTATATTGAACAATTTCAGAATTTCACTATTATTTACTGATGTTTTTCTGCAATATTTTCCAAAAACTCTTATGCGGTCGTTGATCCCACTTTACTGTATATTAATAGTGCTTCAAAACCCATTTTAGAAATATTTATCGCATGATGGCAATGTGCCATCTGAGTGAACGATAAAAATAGAAAAGCAATAGAAGAGCTTTGTATATATAAGAAAATCACGTCAAAATAGATAGGCAAAATAATGTGAATTGCTATTACTTAAGAGCTCAATATCTATCTCATTAAGCGCCACTTCTATTCAAGAAGCGATTCTTATCGAACACTTAATATCGAACATATTTTCCCGGCCAAGCTGGAAAACTGGCTTCGCATCTTCTTATGAAGTTTTACATATTTAAATAAGGCACTACGTACTCGTGTAGCGCAGACCGGATTCTCTCTTCTTGAATGAAATTTTCGAAGAAACATTCAACTTAATTTCGCTGTCATACAATGGGGACATATGTGTTTCGATACGGAAGCAGGTATATGATTGCATCTGTAACTATCGTTTATAGTTATGTTGTCATTGGATACGCAATTATCAATATTTTTCTCTGCAAATTGTCTCTGCAAAATTTCTGTCGAGACACCTGCGCACTATGATTGTGGAATAGCAATTTTATTATTTGGTATGCTCTACTATTCAACTGTACTTTTTCTAGAAAAATTAATTAAATGAGGATATAATAGTTACACGGGATGAAATAAATTCATGTTTATACCTAAATATGTGTACACTAAAAATATAACAGCAAGGTTAGCTTTTCCCCATTTTATAAGACTCTGTTTGATTAATAATAAAACTGTCATTCATTATATTTCGTTTTAATATAGAGAAGTAATTAAACATGTTATTCTCTTTAATTTGAAAAGATGTATAGGTAACATGAAACATAATGATTAGTAAATAACACGGTGTAGGATAATTTTAAATAATATATTACAAATTTAACTACCTAGATTTCAGACACAATGCTATTAGAATATATAATTGATAAACGACAATAACGTTCTATTGTAAAATTTGTTGTCATATAAGGTGAATATTATTCTAATTAATACAACTACATAAGTTCATTCAAAATCAACCATATGATTTGATTTTACAAAAACAAAACTGAAAATTTTTCAACTTGAATAATAATTTCATAATGTTTGTAAAAAAAAATTTTCAACAAATTTCGTAATAATTTGGCTTTATTTTTAAAACAACTTTGACTATATATTTTTATACTTGAGTTACAAGCGTAAAATTTTCATTTTGTGTTAAATGCGAGTACTAAAAATATCGTGGACAAATTCAGATACCGAGGTTATAGCAAAATAATGAATATCAAATTTCAAGAATTTTTTTAAATAAAAATTTTTTTATCAATGAGAAATATTGGATGGATTGTGGATTTGTATTTTGAAAATTAGCTGACCTTTGATTACTATAATATTAAGCTGATATTTAATAAAAGTAAATAATTCCATTTTGTGTATAAAATATTTGAATTCCGTAGTGCACTTTTAAAAAATGAAGAAAAACCCTTGAACGTTCAAGGCTAACTTCGATGTTAAACTGCAGTGTCTACTCCAGAACAATTTATCAACGGCCATCATCTTGGCTCAAACCAATTGGCCCATCCTGCTCAAGAGCAGACATAGTCACGTGAATAGTTCAATTTCACGAGTGCAGCTGCGCGATATCGCTAAATGAACCTTTAAGCTATCGCCCAATTCCATAGCGCACGACTGCAATGCAGATTATAAGGCAATTAGCAATCGCACTCCGTAGAACTATAATCTACCCATTAGACGGATGAACGCGAATAGCTGCGCTGACAAGGAAGATACTGTGAACTTGGCCATGGACGCACGAGTCTGCTAGTGTAGAGAAGATTGCGAGATCTGCTATTACTTTTTTTAATTGTCAATGCGTTGGAGAAAAAAAGAGAGAAAGAACTCATGATAATTTTCTAGCTACATAACACTTGGCGTCCGTGATCCTATGTTATTGCAGAAATTTATGCGGTTTGTCGTAATAACAAGCACAGAAATTGCTACTTTTGCAGTGTATACAAAATTACTTTGATACTTTGTTGGCATAAACTGATGCTGTTCAAGACCGTAACGAGGAAGTAAGGTTTTTTGTAGCTACATTGTTATTCAATATCTTACTTTAACATTGATTCTGACAAATTATGACTACAATTTTTATTTGAAATTTTTTCCTGTACATTCACTTTTTAATATAATATTTTCACTAAATAAAGGTAATTATTATAAGCAAATGTAAATACTATTGAATCAAATAAACTTATGCAACTAGAAGTATTTAGACGTATCACGACATACCGTCCAATGAATTAGATATCTTGGACATTTGATTAAATTTCTGCTGAAATTATACGTTAAATCTTAATTAGGCAACAATTGAAATCGATTAAATGCTTCATTTGACCTCAGGTGTATTCATCCATAGGTGAAATACTGTTTTCTAATTTTCTACCTTGATAGCAAAAATTTCAATGTTCGAGAATTAAGTCTACATATATATTTGTTTAATTCAAGAACATATCATTATTCGACCTACTTAAAACGAACCAACAATTTTTTATTCAAATTGTGTATCGTACAAAAGTAAGTATGATCTATTTCTAGTTTAAACAAAAAAAATGTCGTTTCATAAAAAGGAAGTAGTAATTATGTTATCTGATTAGATTGCTATCAATGCATCGAGAATCATTAAAATCTAATTAAAAGTGATTTAATGTTAGAATAAGATTTTTGCGTAATTATTAATGCTTACAAAGCAATTGTGAATAGAACAACGGATAATGTATTGAACGTTTGATGACTTTTACAATGTTTTCAACTAGATTAATATTAATTATTCATATCTTTGCTAGCGAGTGAATCAAAATAAAAATAACATTACACGTGCCCATGACTTTATTTATTGAAAACGTTGTTGAAACAACACTTGAACAAAACGTTTCTGACTCAATTTTCAAAGTAAACAATGAATCGAATTCATTAACCATTTTCAGATTTTATATAATTTTTTTTTGAAATCTAAAAATATATAATCATTTGATTAAAAGATAAATTATTTATTGTTTTTTTATGAATCACATTAATTGAAGGTCAGATTATAGAAAACATACAAATGATAGGCATCCGTCAAACCGATCAACAAAGTCGAAATAAATTTACGTACTGCACAAAAAGAAGATAAGCCCATATAAGAGGCTTAACCGAGAGGTCAGAGGTAACGGTTCGAATGTTCAATATGAAGTGCAAACGTAATCGTGTCATATGATGAAGATAATGTGAAATAGACATAACAAAAAGAGAAACTTTACGAGTTGAATTTTTGGCGTGCGGATAACTGCCTTTACGGTTTTATTGTATACATAAACTATTGAACACAACAACATGGCGCAAATTACCGTAGATAAATTCTTAGATAATACTAAGTTACTGTGCATAATAATTTGTGTGTATGATAAGACCGTGAACAATATTGTCCGCACGCCAAGTTTTTAAGTAATTCCGCTTTAAATTTTGCTATATAAGTACAATTGTACTTACAATTATTTGAAATACTTTACATATAAATACAAAAATTAATAGAATTATAAGGCTTCAATTGGCTGTTATATTTTCTTTATTTTATTAATTACTTGACATAAACCCGTATTTACCCATCGATTCAAATTCTTTTCCAGGTGAATATTTTCTTGCTTCGCAGCACACTTTTTTTACTTAAATGAATTTCAACATGTGACTTTTTCTTCCTTGATGAGGGTTTGTCCATCAAGTATAAAATATATTGATAGTGACCCTTAAGTAGCCCTCATGCTCACCCTCATATATTGATTATTCCAAATCAAAATCATATTAAACAGTACCGTTTAAAAATACCGCTTAGAAATATTAAATTGTTTTTGAGTTATAATGTAGATGAAACTAGTGATATTTTATTATTCGTGCAACAAATCGAATGATAAATAGTATTTTGTAATCTCTAGCGTTTTGTTTCTTTATAATAAATTTTAATAAAAGAATATATATATAGTATTCCTGAAAATATAAGTAAAACGGAGAAATAAGTTTGAAAATAAAGTAATAATAAAGTAACCATTATACAGTGGCAGTGGCAATGAAAAATACGTATTAACTCTAGATATCCCCACAGTTACTATGTAAATCCTTAATAGGAACTAAAAACACAGTCGGAAACATAGGATCCGATAAGAGCGTATGCTCCAATCAGGCAGATCGTGTTTACGCTCATTCCCTACTCTACTAAAAATGATGAAATAAATACCTAAAAAAGTGAAAAAAACTATAGATTAATGGCATGCCCAGCTTTGTATTCAAGTTTTAAGCTGGAAGTATAAAAAAATTCAATTATTGGATAATAGGGATTATATTGAAATTTCTAATTAAGATTTTCATGGCACATATTTTTATCTGGTAAAATATTTAGACGTGTTATCTCTTCCTTTTTATCTTAGACTGATATCAGAAATAACAATAAAAGCATCGTTAGTAACATAAATTATTATGAATGTTATGTTTGGATTTAAGAATGAAATTCGCTTGTTAATCATAAAACTATTTAAAATAACCGTAGAAAATATTGGAAGCTATTGAAAATTTATATCGTGAATTTAACATAATCAGAATTTTATTATTCTGCTTGAACATAATTTTACAGAAATTATACATGATGTATTTTATTTTTTGTGCTATTTTTATAACTTTTACAATGTGTAAGTATAATTTTTAGTTTCAATTTAAGGAATCGTAATTGAATATAGAATTTTTCAATTCATACTGATCTAGATAGAATCATATTATAGCGTCTCTGAATTACCATTTTAAATAGGCAAATAAGTTTGCGTTTTTTCGATTAGCATTTTAAAGATGCGCAGTCAAGTGTAAAAAACTCGAAGTCTCATTAAAAATCTCATTGCACTGAGATAAGAATGAGACACTCGCGTATTTAAAAATTTTTTTATCAAGTTTAAGAAGCAACATTTAAAAGTAGTTTTTAACTTGTATAATAAGGAATTGCAAAGATTAAAAATCTCGTTAATTTTACATTTATGAATTCTGACTTGATTTACGTCCGAATTTAAAGTCTTTGTAGAAACAATTTCGTATGTCTTATAAATAAATATAAAGGATATTGTAGTGAATGAGTAAAATGTGAAATCAATCATGTTCAAATTTCAATATAGAAATCAATGTAATACTTCATGGTAGTCTCATTTAAACGAGAACTGTAATTAAAAAATAATAATTATGCAAGATAATTTATATATAGTTATAGGCCTTTCAATAATTAATCACATTAGATTTACATTAGTGCAGATATATTGTACTACGCAAAATGTTATATGATACTTAAATCAATAAAAATAGTTTTGCATTAAAAAGCAAATGATGCAAAACATTGTGATATGTATTATCACAGCGCGTTTTATCAACCATGGAGTATTTTTGAAAAAACATTTCAAATACCAACACAGAATAAGATAGATTCCGAATCATCGTTATTTGAAGAAAAAACGTAAATTAAAAATTTATGCATTTTGCTACAAAATAAGTGATTTGCAATTTGTTTAAAGAGCTACGTAATTTGAAGTAACTTTTTCGTTTCCAATTGAAAATGTGTACTTATCCAATAAAAAAAAGTTTCATCAAATAAATTATCAGAGAATGGCAAAATTGTTTGAACAAGTTTGACGTGTAAGCTTTGTTTGTAGTACAATTACTTAACGAGAGTCGTCGGGTACTATAAAAAAAAAAGCCAGTGATATGAAGATCATTAAATTCGAGGAAAGTGTTACAATCCTAATAAGATAAAAAAAGCAGAAGCTATGAAGGCAGGTTCTCTCGGTTGTAATGATAGTGTCATGAATTTCGAAGTCACTAACACACAGCTGTCGAGCATATGCCCAAATGAATGTGAAAACAGACTGCTTATTCGAGAGCGGATCACCTTGAAGTCCGCCAGTTATTGAATAATCAATAATAATAATAATAATAATAATAATAATAACAAAAAGAGGAAAAGTGAGAGTTGAACATGAGTGCGAAGATTCGAGAATAGAGAGGAAGAGAACTAGTGTAGGAGAACGAACGACAAACGTAAACAAAAATCAGAGCAACTCACTGGAAGGCACACTGGAAGACATGTTTCACTATCGGGTTGCAGCTGCGCGTGTAGAAGTGACAGGGTGGCAGGCGCACGCTCAGTTCTGTGCGATCGATATGCGAACGGCCAAAGTCAGGGTCAACACGCGCACTTTGTACCACGACAGCACTGGCGATAATGCACGCGAGTATTAGCGAGAGAGCTGAACCGGCTGCGAGACTCGTGGCTGCGAAACTATCGCCTCAGCCTGTAATAAGGACGGAAAGAGCGCGTCGGCTTAATTCAGTCGAAACGGAAAGGGAACGGCACGTGGTGCCGAGGTAGAGGCGCCGCCGCGTTCAATCTCGCGCGTTTATTCAGAGTCGCGCAAGTGCGCAAAGCGAAGCATCGTTTATAAATATACCTGCACAGTCAGACGCCTCACTGCTCTGGAGACTGAGCCAGCGCCGAGGTGAAAGTTTATTGCTGCTGCTCAGGTTTTGCACAAATCTTTCCTGCTTTTATATTTAACTTCGGCTCGACTGTTCAATCGACGATTTCGTTTAATTTATTTTCTCAAATGCTGTAAATAGCAATCACGATAGATTATACTACTCGAAATAGATCGATTTTGGTATTTACTTTCATGCCTCTTCGTTCAATACGATAAAATACTTTATTGCCATTGAGTTACATCTATTTTTCTTCCATACAAGATCCATCTTTGTGCTTATCGTTAGAAATTATCAACCGTAATACTGCTTTCCTCGATCGCAAATTCATGAAAATTTAAAGTCTTGCTAATAATGATAAGGTGTAAATAATATTACTGCTAATGTCATTCATGTTCAGAATGAATGTTAAAATGAACATATCACTGCTAATTTTATTCATATTAGAAATGAATGATAACGTGCACAAATCGCTGCAAATTGCACTCGTCTTAGGAATGATATAACGTCAATATTTGATGAACCTATCACTTACAATTCTCCATATACGTTATTCTTTCGTTTCTTCGAGGAAAATCATACTATCGGATGAGTTGTGAAAAATATTCCAATATTTTGCATTTCATTAACGATACATTATACTAATCTCGTTAGTAATCAAAGTAGTAAAGCAGTTAATGTGTTCTCGTTATATAACAAAAATAAGGTTGCGATAAAGCACGAGGAAAACAACGAATATTTTATGTACGTAAAAGACCTTTCTACAAAAAAAAAGAAGAAATGACGAAATCCTGAATGCTCATCACTTTATGTTCTTACGTAAAACAATCGATATAGTCGCACGGGACTCAATCTCTTAACATCTTGGAATCAAATATAGTAAACATTTTATAGATATCTGGTGAAGAAGGTTAAATGAAATCAAATTAGCGAAAAACAAGCAGTAAATTTAAACTGTGACAATTATACAGGCTCAATGGTAATTATGATAATCAAACAGCAAGAGGTTCTACTTGGCAACTGAAAATCATTGGGAATTCATGGGGTCACCGTGCATTTGCGCGCAACTTATTCGGGAATTGCAGGTGACACATTTGACGGTGTGTGCGGTGAAATGCCATTATACGTGAACGCGTCTGGCTACAATTAAAACTTTCGCGCGGACCAAGCATCCCGTGACGGGGCTAATTTCCGGAAAACGCACGGACTAATTGCATTATTTCGAAATTCGTTAAGCTCACTCGGGACGCGCTGCTGACACACGAAAGGGGAGGGAAAGAGAGAGCAAATGCACGCAGAGCTTTCCAGCTGCATGTCTGTTGCCAACTTTTATTCTACCGTAATAATACCATACACCAATGGAACACACTTTTTTTCACCAGTTTGCCTTGTTTTGGTTCATGTGTTACTAAGCGGTTTCACGATTAACTTTGTTACACTTTTTGCATGCAGCTAAAAAGAATTAAGTTAACAGTAAAATGTAGTTGAAATAATAAAAAAAACAATTGTTAACATTTTTGTTTGAAAGTATATGTTTTTATTTCATATAAAGTTACATTAATAAACATAAACGATAATAAAATTATTCAACTAAAAATACTTTCATCCAGTATAAAAATATCTGAGGCGGGATAAATTTCGATAAATTTCCTTAATTTCAAACTGCAATTAATACTGATATCGTAATAAAGTCATTTTGTTACATTTTTTCAAAAATATTGTTCATATTGATATCAAAATTCAACTTTTGTTTTGATATTTTTTATAAAATCTATCTTTAGTTGCATCGCACAAACAATAATATAAGTATATAAAAGTTTACTTATAAAATTAAAATTTTAGCCGAATGGTCTATTTAAAAGACTTTTAAATTAATTATAATTTCAGTTGAATTATAGTCTAAGATTCCTTAATAAATAATTTGCTGTCATAAATTTTAATCGTAATATTGATTGATTAAATGAAACTGTTCGAAAATAATCTACAATACTGTAGTATACTAAAAATTCATGCACCATGATGCTATTTATGTAAAGAAATAATTATGCATAATAATAAAATTAAAAAATATTAATCTATAGTACCTATAATCGAATGATTTAAAACTATGTACATCGTTTTTTACTATGCTTTTTTTTAATAGAAATTCACGTTTTCTTTGATGGTAATAATTAGTTTATCTTTCTAATTTTTAATAGTAAATAAATATTGATTAACATTTTACTGATGAATAATTTTCTAACCAAATAAACAATAACCTTAAAAATAAATCATTTTTATGGAACCGACAATTACAAGAAGCACTTATACTAAAATGACATTTTCCGCTTTTTGTTTGAGTTTATATTTTTTTTATCTAACATGAAAATCACAGACTCATAAATAATTTTGACAAGCAAACAATCCTGATTATTAAAATCGATATGCGAGATTAAATAATAATGTCGCCAATTCTAAAATTATCTTATAAGCTTAGTTAAAAAGATATATTGTATAGTCAAAAGCTAAATAAAACAGGTTTCCTTCCGGTTGACGTCTGCCAACTTTCCTCGAAAATATTTTCAACGCCCAGCCTTGCACACATCCACAACTTGTTTTCTTTTCTTCTTCTATATTCCTATTTTCTCATGCAGTGGCTAAAAGAAGACTGTCAGCATTCAGCGTTTAGTGGATCTCGACGTATAGATCATTGATTCTATTAAATTTTTTCTCTTTGAATGAGTTCAGTTTTTCGTATGCCCGACAGATAACAAACGTTGTATTTTGCTTTCAAACTTTTTTTATCTGACTAATAGTAGATAGGTTCCTTGACCTGACGGATCTGTAAGCGTAATAAAATATCTAATAAATTTTCATTAATTTATCTATTTTATGTTATAATGCAGACTATACATTAAACAAACGGATGTAAATAAAAAATAAGTGACACCAGTTATCAGTCTCATATAGAGTTTAGGGTTATTAGATGAATATAAAATCAACTATCGCACTAATATTATAATTATATTATAATATTTAATTATGAATAATAACTATGTGAGTTACTATAAATAAATAACAGTCTAAGTTTGAGCGGAAAAGTCCATACCAACTAAAAATTGAACATTAAAATGGAATAATTTTAGTTGATTAAAAAAAAGTAACTGAATAGATCCAATTTTTTGAACAACAAAATATCAATATAGATTGTGCATACAGTATCGTTATATTGAATCATTTAAAAAATTAAAGATAAATAAATGCTAAAACAAAGTTGGAACTTTGCCAATCGGCCAAATTACAAAAATTGCAACGTAGCTGTCATATAAACCTCAATTTTCGAGTAATTAAAAGATGTTATTAGCGTTAAGTTTTGTCGTTAGATACTTACACTTTTCATTGTATAAGAAAAAATCGTAAGTGCGATTATAATGTAAGTCGCTATAAAGGTATTTTTAGTTAATTTAGTAACATAGGTATAGAACAAATCACCAAAAAATAAGCAATTAGCGCAGTCATTATCACTGACAAAACAATTGATAGATATATGTTAAACGAATCATTCACATAATTATTAACGTTTCTAAAACTTAAGAATAGTATACTTAAAATACTCTCTAAGCTTCTTGAAAAATCCCCCAAAAAAAGTCTAGCTGATAGAGTAAAACGACAACTACTTAAAGTTGCGACTTAAAGGAAAAGTCAAAGCAAGAGTACACTCGGACAGGAGAGCGACTCGAAAAACTAAAAATGGCTTGCAAGTGCATCTCAGGGAACTCGTTAAAAGTAGTGAGAGCTCTTTCTCACTCTCTCTCCCCCTCTTTCCCCAACTCAGACGTTGGTCAAAGGCAGCTAAGGCTAATCAAACCTCCTAGGAGCGAAGTACACAAAGTGGACGCAACTACAAGTTCACTCGTCTATGCAGACGGCAAACCTGCTGGTCTTGCTGAGATAGAGATTCCCCCCGCAAGAGTTCGGCAGGGAAGGGGCTGACCACCGGTAACGGATTTCGATGCATCGGTTTGGAAAAGCTTTGAACGATATCGAGAGCGAAAAGAATGGTTTAGATGATTTCGTAGGAGAAAGCTGTTGGATCTGTATGAATTTTATGATTCGACTTTAACGAATTTAATTTTTGTTTGCTAATTTTACGATAAAGTTTCAAGGGAAACCGTTCAATGCAATCAATCCACTACAAAAAACTGTTTTAATGCTCACCTGATATTCACAAATTTACACGCCATTCTCAGGTGTGATAGTAATCTCCTGCTTGCTTTTCTGAATGAACGTAGTTTTGTACAGCAGCGAGCCAAGCAAGGCGCCGGCAAACGGACCAAACCAGAAGATCCAGTGGTCGGTCCACTGATTGTTGAATAAAGCCGGTCCAAAGGATCTCGCAGGGTTCATGCTGCAGCCAGTGTAGGGCGCAAAGCCGAAGCAAAGCCCAGCAACGGCCAAGCCAAACTTAATGGCCGTGGAGTCGGTGTTGCGGGAGTTGCGTATGTCGCCGACCGCGCACGACATAAACACAAGCACTGCGGTGGCAAGTACCTCGGCCAGAAAGCCTTGCAATAACGACACCTTCGAATGCAGCATTGTTACGCAGAAATTCGAGGCGGTCAATGGGTCGCCGCCGTGCAGGTAGTCGGATGGGGTGATCAACTGAAGCGAGCACAGAGAATATTGTTAAAAATGTCCGAACGATCATTTACTCAACGACGATTATTATTAAGAGCTTCTACGTAATGGAACAACGTAAATTGTTACATGAGCTATACCTTGAGTAAGCCGTATCCTACGATTCCGCCAGCTGTCTGGCCCATGAAGTAAACTAGAGCGGATAGTAAGGATTGTTGTCCGCAAACGACTGCTCCCACCGTAATCACTGGATTTATGTGTGCGCCGCTAATGTGAGCCACACACTGCAAAGGTAAATCATGGAATTATGTTAGTAGAGCTATGCATAATGCGCTGCGCACCTCTTGTCACTTTGGAATGTCGCGGTTGTTTTATTTCATTTGGGCGATAGAGAGGCTTGCTTATGGCAGGTATTTTTAAAATATTACGTAGAAAACATTGAATTTGTACCGTGATTGCGATGACGACAGCGAAACCAAAGCTGAGACACATTTGAAGATAAGACGGTACGTTTCCCAAACTGCCGACGCATCCTAAGCAACCCAGAAACACCAATATCGCTGTGCCAATCATTTCGGCAACGCCTTTTTTAATCCACTCCACTGCTGAGCCATCTGGTTTGGTCCCTGAAACATAAATCGATTATTCAATTTTTAATATACTTCCTCTCGAAAAATTCACCTCAAAGGGTACACGCTGTTTGTATTCCTTTTTCTATCGCTTTTCGAACATTTAGTCGATGCTTTCATCCGCTCTCAAAATATATGCGCATAACTTGCGCGTCTCAAATAACATCAATGCAAAACATTTTCATTCGACGATACAATTTCGCTTAATATTTTCAATCCAGTTCTGACCTCGATTCCCTAAAAACAGCGTTACCATTTTCGCTCGAATTCGCAATACAAAATTAAACGCAAAAGATTTGCAGTGACGTGTTTGAAATAAAACGTTTCGCAATGCCAAAAGTCCATTAGCCATGTTAACGAAGACAAACAACGAAACAGCTAACTCATTCCAAAGAGGCCGAAATGTCAAAAGTTTGGCGAATCGGATGGAATTTGTCAAGGCAACAAAAAGTAAGCTCAAAGAGCAGTAAATCCTCGAGCTCGCTGCGAGAGCACAGAACGACGCTCAACAAGCTGGGGCATGATTGCGCTGCTCCGCGTACTTTTCGCAGTCTCGCAGCGTCGGCTGAAAATTTATGAATCGAAAATACGGAGACACTCGCGCGGGCAATCATATGAATGCGGAAATTAACATTTCCGTTGCTGCAAGCTTGACTGTCCTGGCGCTACACTTGGACCCGGGCGTCACTCAAATTAGCGTTTCATTTTCAATTTTTCATGCGACATTAGCTTCGCGATCGGGATAAGAAACGGAAAAGGAGATGCTCGCAAACGAAACTAGACAGCAGCGGGGAGCTGCACTACTTTATTCATAACTGCGGCGGGGCAGGATGGGAGAGCAAAAATAGGTTAAACTCCCGAACGAAACAGCTTTTCCAGGCTGCAAATCGAGCGGCTGCAGATGTTTCGCATGCATAATGCAGCGAGATGACGAGGCAGGGGGGGGGGGGGGGGGGGGGGTTGCTGCAAACAGAAAACTTGGTGGCAAAAGTTGGTCGCGAACGCGATTCCTCGCAGTGCAGTTGGAAAGCGAGCGAGCGAGAGAGTAGCAGCGCCGAATTCGATTATCGACGCCCGACGCGACGCGGGTCAGGCCGTCGCGGCTGAATTTACATGAAAGCTCGGCTTATGCAGATCGCCGGCAGTCGTGTGGGGTCGATGCTTCGCGAGCAAAAACAGAAAAAATGAGAGAGAGAAGCCAATTAATCGGACGGTTACATGTGTGCTCACATGAAACGTTGTGCCCCGTGCGCTTTTCAATTGTATTTCTATTTTTATGCGATACCAGTTTCTTTTTCAAAATTTATTTTATAAGCCGCTGCCGCTTGACAAATTATGCATTGCTTAGTTTTGAATACTCTTTTAGAGCCAATGGGTACTTGCTAGGTTTTCTTGTTTAACCCAGTTTGGTCCAAGGAATTTATATGGACTTATCATGTAGCCGCAATACATTTGAATAATGCAAGTTTTATAAGACTTGTCAAGAAGTCTTGAAATTTAAGTCGTTTTAGGAAGGAAGTTCAAATTGATGTTCACGAAAGGTCCTTTACTTCTTTCACTTGAACATTGCCTTTGGAGAGGTTCATTATTCAAACTTAAGATGAGACAAATTTACGATCAAACGTTTTGGCGATGTGCTTTTAAATTCGTTTCAATGTCTTCGTTTTTTATAAAACAATTTTTTTCCTAATGCATATACTATCATAGATGAAAAAAAAATATCAAATATTATGATATGTTTTTTGCGTCATGTATAAGCATATTCCCACGTTATAACTGAGAAAGCGGAAAGAAAGAAGCGGCTTATGTAATCGACTCGAAGAAGCGCGAAATGACGGGACGACGTTGCCGCCCGCCGGAATATCGGATATCATTTGCATTTGGATTAGCCTTGACTTCAAACGAAATTTATGCGCGCTCTGAGCGCGGCTGCGAGAGAGAAAGGCGCGTGTGTTTCGCCCTTGGTTTTCGAGCTGTGAAAATTGAGCGAAGAGCCTTTGACACGAGGCTTCGCGCGACGTTGGAGCGCAATTATTTTGCGCCCGTCTTTTATGTGGACTCGATGAAATTTGCGGTTTCCATCGACATCTTTCTTTCTAAGAGAGTCCGTGACGTATTTGAATGCTTTGACGCAAAGTATCACTGTCTCGCTGATACGTTCGTGAATTATTTATTCCGGTAAGAATGCAATATTTTTAAGTCGAACGATCGCTTGGAAAGTTTGCGACGTTATTTTTGGAGCAAGCGAGCTACTCCTCTCGTTGTTTTTCACGACCGAGTACAAAATTAATCTAAGTTCAAGTCGCTGATAAATATTCATTAAATATTACAAATTGATAGAGTATTTTCGCGAACCGGGGAACAAAGTGTAACCTTATATACGCTGCCGAGCGTTACATACATTCCTGCTGGCTGCGCGTCGCTTCTAATTCAACTTGATTTTCTGTCGCAAGCTTCACGGCCAACCCTAGCGTACAAATTTATCCGGGCGTAATCTCGACAACTTGAATTTCAAATTTCGCCTTGGTCAGACTATCCTAAATTCCCCGAATTTTCCGCTGCAGAAGCGCGTTCGCGCACACATTGGCAGGGATGGCTTTAACCGGCGTAAATTCGCGCAATTCATTTGAAAATCTTATAAACTCGCCTGGTCATCACGATGCGACTGGAAAAGCATTACGAATCCTTCCGGATTCCAGCAACGACAAATAGGTGCCAAGAAATTTCGGATAATTAGTGCACTATTTGATGCGCGTATATCAAAGTTAATCACATTTCTGTAGTGCCTAAGGACAGCCAACGTGCTTTATAAAGAAAAACTCTTGCAAGTCATTAAAGTAAGGAAGAGAAGAAGAAAAGAAAAAGGCCAAACAAGCAAGTCTGTCTGAAAAGTTGGCAATGAGAGAGAGAGAGAGAGAGAGCCGGAGAAAAGGCGGAGCGCAGAGAGTATGATCAAGAGTTCTCGCGGCTAGCTGGCGATGAAATATGCAGACATAATGGGTCGGAGGAGGTTGGCTCTGGCACTGGCAAGGATACACTCTTCGCGCTCCGGGACAAAAGCCCAGGCAATTTTTCATCCGTATACATATATACGCTACCACCGCGTCGCGTGTGCAGATGAGCTTCGCCAAAGTCTACGCGATTTAATTTACGGGAGGGCCCGGCGACTACGACGAGCTGCGGGATTCACATTATGCGCCGTGTCCGCTCTAAAGCTACCAGTTTTGCCGTAGCATTCGTTGAAACTAGAACTTATTAGCTGCGCAGATTAAACCGAATGATTTCGTTTGAGGAAGTCGATTATTTTCTCGATTTATAAAAGTTAGTTTTGTAAATTGATTGAACATTGGAGCTTCAACGCTGCGATACTTGAGCGATCATTTCGAATGCGAGTCTCTAAAGAATATTCCACGAAGTTTCCGAGCGTTTACAATTGAATAAACATTACAAGTTATTCCGGATTGACGATAGCGGAAGAAAGGTAAACGCTCTCAACGTCACGGTATATTTTTTTTTTAGAATAAATACTAGCCTGGAAACTGGATTTTCTATCAGATTCCAGAGAAGTTTCGCCAAGAGTTGGCAAATACGTTAAAGCAATTTAAAAACATCATACATCAAACGAGACTTTTTCGATTTCCGCAGTGAATTCAATGTAATTGTATGTAAGGTTTCCGAACTTATTTACACCGTCTTTGTCGAAGTAATAGAGGTAGCTTTCAATGCATTTTAACCGATTACTTTTTGAATATTTTCATATGTCAATTAAATACCTGCCATTATTTGATAGCAATGGAAAAACAAATTCGTCGGCAATTTTTCCATATCACACTCAGAGAATACAAACATTTCTTTTACTTATTCGTGCTAACAAGAAAATCAAACCGAGTGGAGCTCCATTGACATAGAATCCGCGCGCTTGACGAGTAAAGAATGCAAAAAGAGCGGTAGGTATAACCATTGTTGATTTTTTTTCCGTACGTTGAAAAATAATCGCCCACGCCTCTCTCTCTCTCTCTCTCTCTCTCTCTCTCTCTCTCTCTCTCTCTCTCTCTCTCTCTCTCTCTCTCTCTGAGAATGAGTCGCGCGGGCGCGTCAACTAGAGAACGCTGCGATTTTTAAATTTCTCTATATCGATTGTCTCGTGAAACGGAGTGCCGCTTTTCCTCGCTGAATAATTGGATTCGTTAACAGTGGTGCGACACTCAAGATCCGCGTTTTTTTCTTCGATAGATCGGTTTTTTCTTTTTTTTTTAACAAGGTTAGCGGGGACTCGAACCAGCACAAGTGGTTAAAATTCAGATTTTATGTGTAATTAGTAGGCTCGTCTGATCGATTTTTTGCAAGTTCATAAACTAGAGCATACGATAATTTGCAATACGCGTAAGCTCGTTTGAAAATAGAGCATAATGCCAAACAATGACTCGCTCTCCGTTAATTTATGCGGCTTAGCGCTTATATAATAAGTCAAGCGTGCAGGATCCACCGTCTTTTAATTAGATGCATCGTTAAGCCTACATGATATCCGTAACGTTTAGCATTTTTTGTTCTCCTTATCTACGAGCGTTTACGCCACGCGACCAAAATAGAACAATAATTAAAAGCTCGTTTGAATCTCGCGCAGGCGCGCACGCGGCTATTGCGGATCGTTGGATAATTATTGCACCTGATCATTTCCGAGTTCGCGTAGCATGCGCATAATTACGAAGTCAAGTCAGCGGCGCGTCGATTTCTCGGCCAAGCGAGATAAGTCGCAGCGCTCGATGCTAATGCCTTGGTTATTCGCGGACGGGGCGAATTTTTCTTTAATCGCGACCGACGACACTCGCCGCGCCGTCCGCGATTGCACGATGTCTAATCTACCGACGTGTATGCACGGCGAAGGGGTCGACGCGATGCCAAATCGATCAAGCGGAAACGCAGGCGATAACAATATTTGCCCGCTGTAAAGCTTCAAACGCGAGTCGAGCATTCGACTGTCAAAGACGAGTGAGTTC